TTTTTTTTTTTTTTTTTTTTTTTTTTTTTAATAGTTCAGGTAGTAGTGCACGCTATAATGTGAAAAATAAGAGTTCTGTGCTTTTGTGACGAATTTATTTGCCAAAAAAGGCAACGCTATTTCTTCCTGGAATTTTCATTCATCGAGAACGACCCACTCATAACTGCTATTCCCCAACAATAACTAATGTTCAGTTCTTGAAATGTATTTCAAAAGGTACTGTAAAAATATTGCTGTTAAAATATATGGTAAATGTATGACAATGTATAAGTTAATTTACCGTCGTGATTGTTTGTATTCTAAAAGATAATATAATTTATTGAGTGCACTTAAAATATACAAAATCTCGCAAAAAGATTCAATCTTAGCGCAGGTTTCTACTGTGTATTGCTGTTTTTCATAAAGGGCAAATATTCAGGAACCTGTTAACTTCTGAGTTTAAACGATATCAATAAGTTCATAAAGTCTATCTTCTTTTTTGAAAATTCCGTAAAAATTATAATATTATGGATCAAAAACGGACATACACAAAAATAAAAGCCACGTGTGTCCCTGTACAAATATATAATGGCAGTATGCAATCGGCTTTCAGAGGTACTCTCGAGTGAGGATGGCATTCATTCCATGATATACCGTTCACATTATAGTGCTGTAAAACTTGACTACCCACTCCGAATTTCCTTATCTCACCAAACATGATTAGGATGAAAGATTATAAATCACACGTCATAGTAAACCTATTATGCTTTACAAGTTGTACACGACGAGGACTGCACTTTTAAAATGAAATACATAGCCTTAAGTCTCGCAGTCTTGTCCTTATTTTCACAGTTACCGGTATTGTTCATGCCATTTCAGAATAGTCGGGTTTATCCATCTCTTTTGGACATAATGAATTTTAGTGCAACGGCAACGTGCGTTTGAATTAAAAGTGCAGCTAAAGGAAACAAAATACTTGAACTATGCCATGTGATATTAAAGTATGCTCGGTAATGTGAAACATATTAAAAAGGGACGACACTAGTAGTTCTGAACTATATAATTAAATAAAAAGGAACTGACCGCGACAGCTGTGTACGGTTTTCTTCTCAGACTGAATTAAAACATCGAGTCTGTGCTCGTTGTTATTTCAACCTGGTATTTTTTAGGTCTCGGTCTCAAATACCGACATTCTTTAAGATCTTCCCACTGCTCGTCTGTAATATTCTGTAAGGCAACTTCCATCGGGGAAGGGTGGGAGTCATCTTCAAAATGAGCTGGGACTAGAGGGAGGGGAGGTACGGTATAGATGGGCGGTAGAATCATGGGTGGCAGACGAAGTGCTTTTCTTGATTTTTTAGATGTCTGCTTTTGTTGAATTATAGGCGTCTGATGAACAACTTCCCTATAAATTCTGTTTACCCGGCGTTTGTCCCATCTTTTGATGTCTGCGCGAGTGTTTTTCTGAAGGAAATCGTGTATTTTTCTCTCATCTTCATTAAGCATACTAACGTCAGTTTCCGACGTTGAAATACTGACGCTTCGTAAAACGTTAATATTGTCATTATGCTGCTTGTCATAACCATGAGGTTGACTAACGCGGGATGAGATGCTGGTTTCGCTAGAATTTGACAGCGTCCTGGCTCTTGTGACCGTCCTTTCTTCACTCGTAGAATTAAGAGATAACGATCGCATTCTGGTCGGTTGAAGCAACTCTTCTGTTTGGTACACTGGCGTGTTTGTTGAAGCCCCATTCTTAACTGTATAGTTATAATGGCGATATATGTGTTTTTTATTTTCCTGCCATCTCGGTACCGAAATGTCGTCTGAGGTCCGTAAACATAAATCCTCTTCTAAAATCTGGTCTGTTAAACGCCGTTTAGTGCTCGGAACCGACTGACAACGTGCGAATCTGGTCCCAGGCAAAGCGACAAACCCCTCTCCGACATTGCTTTTCTCAGATATCGTTGGTGTGTCAAGCTGAGGAACGATAGATATCTTACCATTTTTCTCGCCAGTAGGCTCTCCTGTCTTTCCATCTGTCAACTGGAAAAGTTCGTCAAGATGAGAACTTTTCATAGACGCCGTCTTGCGTTTACCTTGCAGTCCTTTCAGTTCAGAACTTCGTCTTCTAAGACGATCATTTTCTTGGTTGAAATCTTCGGTTGTATGTTTCATTTCCAAAGTTATTTGTCTGGAGGTATCTCTGAGTCTTTTTTCGTTACTTACATCTCGTTCACAGATGCCTCTTACAGCTCGTTTGGAAAACAAATTATCAACCACCGTATGAACCGCCCGTTTTCTCTTTATCATACTGACTTTTTCCTCTTCAGCCACTATTCTGATGATAGAATGAACAGCGTGCAAACAAGCGATCCTCTTGCAAACCCAACTGCAAGTTGTGTGTTTTTGATTAGGAGGCAACTGAACAACAGACAGGCGATTGTTCCCTTGCATTGATAACTGGGGTCATGTTTTATCACCGTGACCTTAAACTATTTGTCAAATCCACAACTGCGCATCTGCTGACGACTGTAGCTCGTGCTCACGTGCACAGGAAAAAGAAAGGGGGAGGGGTCAGTGCTGACAGTGAATGAGGCGGTGCTTACACGGTGCTTTTAACCGATGCAACCATTTATTCAGAAATTTAAATAAAAAATATTCAAAAACAATTTTTTAATTCATTAAATTAATTCAGGTTTTGATCTTGTGTATATTATCATGCAAGTGCTGATACAACGTCAATGAGTCTGGCTGAACTTACTTTACTTGTTGACTTTGTAGGCCCAAGTATGAAAATCAAAACTTGCATTATGGTTTGGATTTTGATAGCATTCACCCATGACACCCTTTCTCTTACATGTTTGGTCGTTATGTCCATTACGGGGAGGCTATCAAAGGTAAGAAAAACGAGTTTGATATTCGTTGAAATAGAAAAAAACTGGGAAAATAACACATACCGATATACATAGGGAAAAAAGTATAAAAGAAAAATATCGATTCGTGGGTAGTGATTTCACTTAACGATAATTATATTTACACAAACTTGATCAATGCACGACACTTACACACGCAGAGAGAGAGAGAGAGAGAGAGAGAGAGTATGCATGTATTTTGGAGATAATTTCTGTTTTCTCATTGGTGATAACAGGTCTTTATATGCTTATGCATGTTTTATTTATAGTTGTACTGCCTTGTAAATGTATGTTACCTTCCCCATCTTTGTAAGGCCTAGGATACAACGTACTCATTGTATTAAATTAAAATACAAAACAACTATACTTGCAAATGCTGGAAGGGAAATGCAATTGTATTCTAAAAGCGCTATAGATGATAATAAAACGCAACTCTGCAGAACTGTGCCATCATCATAGCCACTGATTTTGAGGACTTTCTCTCCTTTTTCCTTTTCGCTTTTAAGCGACCTTTCTTAAGCACTAAACACAACCTTCATTTAGCTGCAGTTCTTCAATTATTATTCAATTATTCAATTTAACCTTATGTAAAAGTATCTATGATAATTTTACTTTTATTTCCAAAAATACATAGGAAACGTATTTTCACTCATGCAATTTATAGTCCATTGCTGCCGACAAATTAAATTTGATATGTCCACATATTACGGCATATGTGGTGAGTTTACCTATGCCCAGATTTTAGTGTGCATTGAAAGGCTCACCAAATCGAGGCGTAAGTAAGCTCCCTAGCTCTCTCTCTCCCTCTCTCTTTCTCCTTACACATCCAAAAAATTCAGTTTGTTTTTGGTGTGATTTCACGTCGCATAATATTGTCCCTTGCCATGGGAGGGCATCACTGACGTCATGTCACTAACCCATTTTCAATAATCGATGGGGATTTCCGGTTGTAACTGAAATAGTGAACGAAAGAAACGTCTGGAAATTCCAAAATAACAACAACAAAGTTATCAAGACGTAATTGAAGCACAAAATTCCCACATCACGCCAACGCAAACAACAAAGTCACTGTGGGTGGACGAAGAAATAAGCAGGAATTTTCGGGTAAGTAAATATATCTTTAAATCACGTATGAAAGAAACGATTATGTAGATTTGTTAATTCATCAATCTGCTATTTTATCGATCTACTGTATATATAGTTGTTGTTTTTGACTTCGGATACTTCCGGTGGGTTCTTATATGCACAGGCAATGCTGTTTTTCTCCTCGTCAGTGAGGTAGTGTGTCTCCGTCTCTAATCTTCGTGGTGAAGGAAACTTTATACATCGGGGGCGTTTTGATAGTCCTAGGGGTCATTGAATCCGAAAAATCGTAGCATTTTCATCAGTTTTTAGTCAAGGGTTCGTTGGTCCGAATGTTCACTATAGAACCTTCG